TTAGTTATTATATAATATAATAATATAAAGAAAATTTACAAATCGACTTGCCACTGATATACATGCAAATCTATTAAAATCAATTGCAATAAGATAGTATCTCGATTTCATTTCAAACACAGACTCATGCTCCGCAATCAACGCTATAATATGCATTTCCAACAAAGTTTCCTTGCTCTATCTTCCTGGTGTATGTGTGTGTGTATGTGTGTGTCATGTGAGAGATTTGAATTTTTGAGTATGAATTTTTAGTTTTATTTGTTGTAGTTATTGCTATATTGCAGAGGAACCAGAAAATCCCCATCTCCTTCTACTATTGTCTGTTGAACAAAGCATATTTTCATCAAAGTTTCCTTACACTATCTTCCAGGTATATATGTGTATCTGCATATATATATATCGTCTCAGGTTAGAGTTTTGGATTTTTTAATATGAATTTTTAGTTTTATTTGTTGTCGCTAAATTAAGATTGTGAGTAATTTTGAATATTGATAGACGTGTAATTGACAAAAATGACGATTGTGAATTAAAAAATTAATGAATTTTTAGTTTTATTTGTCGTAGTTATTGCTATATTGTAGAGGAACCAGAAAATCCTCATCTACTTTGAATGTTAACTATATATATATATATTGATTGTTCCACACTGCGGAGTTGATGCTTCGCATGCGGATATTAACCAAATTACAAACATTTATTTTTAAATTAAATACAATTTCACTTATTAATGATTTAATTCAAAAACATTAATAAAAATTATAAAATCTCATGATTGTTTACAAATCAGATTTCCTTTCAGGAGCATTGCTCCCGAGCCCCCACGAGGAGCGCCACCTCATCTACCCTGGCGACTTGATCGGACAGGTCGATCCCAAAGGCGTTGCCCCCCCCAAGTCCCCATTGTCCCATCGACCCCAGTGACCTATCACTGTTATTTTTGTAGCACTGGTGTTAGCACTCAGTCCGGATGACACTGTTCATAAACGAGTTTTCATCTCTATCTTCTCATCTTTAATATTTATTTTCTGTTTCTCTACTTTCACTGTACATGAGATCCAATAATATCTCTATCTACACTCTTTGTATTCTATCTTCCATTCATTTGTCCTCTAGAATAAAGATCATGGAGACAAGATCGTATCCGTCTTTGAGTCAAAGAAAGAAACCCTAGAAATCGCCTTTTCATATTCTTCACTCTTTCTCACAGAAATTTTTGCAGATTCACTTGTGTGTTCTTGTTCCATAATTTGTACTATGTTTGTTCTTGTTCATTTCCTGCATGTTTTATGTTGCAAAATCTATCGAGTCTCTCAAAAGGTAAGATTTACTGTTGTTTGAACATAAACTTTGAGATCTAATTTGTTTTGATGATTTTCGTTTCCCTAATCTGTGTGTTCATTTTTATTTTTTTTTTCGTCGTTTTCTGCTGCGAAATCTACCGGCTCAGTGAAAAGGTAAACTTTAAATACCTTTGGGTAAATTCAAAGGTTCGAAGAACAAATCGCCTGAAGCACACTGACTTCGCGCTTCTCTGCCGTTAATTTCCTGTCGAAGGCTCGCTTTTTTCCTCTACGATCGTTTGCCGAGCTAAGAGGAGGTCCATATAAAGCACTTTCTTTTGTTCTAAAGTTCTATCAACCGGTTTCGTCTATGTTCTCATGATTAATATAAGGCAAGTTTTCATTTTTTCCCTCATAAAAATTGTTTAAATCTCAAAATTTGTGAAGGGACATCTTCAATAACAAATTACTTGTTCAAGATTTGGGTTTTCATTTTCTGAATGCGCTGGTTTTTCTCATTGCCTATGATGAAGTTGTTGGGTTTAATCTATAAGCAAGCTTCATTTGGTTAAGAATTTATTTTTGAAAATTGGTATGCAATTTTTGAAGTGAATACAATTTTTGTTTATAATCTACATTTCAAATTTTTCATTGTGTTCCAGGTTGCTGAATAAATTTGAGGCCAACAAGGTTAGTTATCCAATACTCACCTATTATTATTTAGCATTTAAGTGTTGCATTATTGACAAAGTCTTCAATGTGATTAAAAAATTGCAAATTATAGGAGAGCTAGAATGACAGCAGAATAATATTCTTTTGTAGATGCAATTTGCAACTCGACCCCACATCACCCCTATCTCCACTCCATAGAAGCCCCCCACCCTTCAGTAAGAACATATCTCACTCTTTCTTTTGCAACAATAGCAATCTCAGCTTCATAGACATTTGATTTTTGAACCCTGATATTAATGCCCAAAGCCAATCTTTCACCTTCCCTTACAGATGACACATAGTGTGGGTGTTATCTGAGTAATGCATAGAATAACATGGTATAGTTGAATTAATCTAGATGCTTTCATGAGGCGTTTTATAAACTTTTGTCTGTATTACTTGACTTAACAGTCTTTAGGGATGGAAACGGGGCGGGGGGCGGGGGGCTAAGAAATTTCCCGCCCTGTTACCCGTTTAAGGTGGGGCGGGGGCGAGTCCTACCCCGTTTACTCCCTGTTTAAAATATATATATATATATTTTTTTTTTTTTGATAATTTATTTTTATTGCTTATATTCATTAGATTTAGACAAATAATTTTAGTTACTATTTTCTATTAGAGTTAATGAAATTTTTTATTTAAAGAATTGAATTCTAAAAAAAAAAGTAGCAAGTTTATGACATGGGCCACTAAATAATGTTTCCCAGTTCTTCTCATACGGTATATATGAGATACGAGTTTGATCTTTTTCCACACTGAATTCTGCTAGTTCACCATATAGATGGATGCATAATCAATTTTTTCTGCCAGGAAAAATATTTACACATTATTATAATGAGTATACTCATAATGTCTGTTAACGTAGGAAGGCACAAACCATAATATACTTGAAATTGCTTGAATGGAAAATGAGACGATACAAAAAAACAGAAACTTCAAGCCTTNTTTTTTAAACGGGGCGGGGCGGGGCCCCCATTACCCGTCCTCGCCCTATTACCCGATTAAGCGGGTTATCCCCGCCCCGTTTGGAGCTGGGTCCCGCGGGTATCAGGTTTATCGGTTTTTTTTTTTGCCATCTCTAGCAGTCTCGGACATGTTTTATGAGAAGTTTCGGAATAACTCTATAATAGATGCCATAAAAGGTTCCCCTTTTCAATAGGATTGTATTTTTTTTTTTAATACATCCTTTCACATGCATTTATCTACTATTTTTTCCTTATCGTTATCTTTTTATTAGATGTTAATACTTCGAATCTATTTGATCTTAAAAAGATGAAAAAATGAGAACGTGTGAAATTAAAATATCTATTGTACACAAAGGATTGATTGTAAAGGAAAAAAATGTCAATCAATAAATTTCGTTCTTTACACTACATGTAGGGGAGTTTGTAGCCAATATTCCGCGAGATATGAACATCCAGATATGGAGCAAATTATTCTGTTTCAACAATGATATTCAATTTAATGCAACTACATTATTCTTACACTATTGGATATGTTGTTTGATCTTCCTCTTTCCGTGCTTAGGTAAAACCTAGATCTCCACGTTTATGCAAATAACAACTTGGAACCACAGAGATAATTTTAGTAGAATTATGTGCTACTGAATTAAATCAACAAGTTGTAGTCCTTCTTTTCATTAGTTTGTTTCTTGCTATTTATTTTTTCAGATGGAAGGATTAGCGGATGCTTTAGTTCTATTATGATCTAACATTTATAAGTATCTGCTTTGCATTAAACTATGAAGCACACCTAGAAATTAAAATGGTCTTTCAATGTATTATGTGGTGTTGAATTAAATCAGACAAACTTTGTCTTTTTATTTGGCAATTTATTTCTTTATACAAATGTATGTATGAAAATTTTGTAATACAATCTCTCATCCAATCTTAACATTCAAGACCCTAATATTACTTTAAAAATAACAACCGTACATTGCATGGGGCAAAAACTAGTATTTTTTAAAAACAAGTTATATTTAGATTGAAAATTTGTTTAGCTTAATGATGCAGCCGAAGCCAGCCGTCAACAATTATCTTGAACATTTTTATTTTTTTAATTTGTTCTAATTTAGAGTATTTATTTATACCCCAGTGGGTTCGTGGCCTGCCCTTTATGACCAAGAATGCAATACTAGGTCATTTTTGTATTGTTTTAAAATTAGAAACTTAGGTGTGAACTGAGAAAATGATGGGAACTTTGGACAAAACAGATATTTTCAATCCCTGGCTGCTTCCTTTCCATATTTTGGACTTTTATTTCTCAGCTTAAATAAAATATATATTTGGTCCTTAATGTTTATTTTGTTTTAAATTAGCCATTGAAGTTTATTAATGGTCTAATCCTATATCTACTAACGGTTCCATTGCCGTGCAAGATCAATTATTAAGTATCGTTTAGTCCTATATTCTAGAATAAATTTTGTAGAAAGTTTATTTTTTGAAGACTATATATAGTTAAAAAGTAAAAAAAAAAAAAAAAAAGAGTCAAGCATTGTACAAGTAGTTAAATTGTAAACTAAAACATTCTTCTCAATCCTAATCTAGTATGATTTAGGATATGAAATAAAAAGAATTATTACATGATATTCGATCTAATTTTATCAATTACAAAATAACAAAGTGACAAGTTTTTCCGTTAATTTACTATACGTGGAATTTGATGATAATCTCACCAAGGAGTGGCCAGATTCGAACAATTAGAAAACTGAAATGACCAACTTTAAGTTTTTCTGCAAATCGAGGGACGAAATATATAAATTTAACACGTGATTTCTCATTACACCTACTAATGTACAAGATTCCGCGGAAAAGAATTAGTCAACCATCATCAAGTCTTTACCTACAACTTTCCAACCCCCCTACTTTTCTTTCCCCTTCTCCTCCATTAGATATCTATAAAAGTATATGTAATCTTTCTCTCTTTCATTCACAAGGAAGAAAAAAAGAGAGAAAGTATAATAGAAAATCAATCTTTTGGAACATCCCAAATTCTTGATCTTCAAAAAAAATGGACAAAGTTGTTAAAACTGTCCTCTTTTCCTGGCTATTGATCTCTCTCTTTGCTTCTTCATCTTATGCTCAGAATTGCAATGACTACAGATTTTCCAACAACAACTTATACACCGCTTGCAATAGTCTTCCTGTCCTTAGCTCATTCCTACACTGGAACTACCACCAATCTAACCACTCAATCGATATTGCCTATCGACATACTGGTGTCTCCTCGTCCGACTGGGTCGTCTGGTCACTGAATCCGGACGGGGGAAGAATGGTCGGCGCGCAGTGTTTGGTTGCTTTTCGGAACTCCAGCGGTCGTGTTCACGCATATACCGCACCGATTGCGGGCTTAAACACGCAGTTGCAAGAAGGGCCATTGAGTTTTAGAGTTCCTAGGATTTCGGCTGAATTCACCAACAATCAGATGGTGATATATGCTAGTATTGAACTTCCTAGTGGAAGAACAAGTTTTACTCAGGTTTGGCAAAATGGACAGGTTTCTGGGGACACCCCTATGGGACATGCTACAACTGGAGATAATTTGAGGTCTTTTGGAACTATTGATTTTGCTACTGGATTGACTTCGGATACAGGCGCCGCCAGCGGAGGTTCGCGACAACGAAAGAGAAATGTGAGTAGAAACTCTTTTTTTTAATTGTTTGCGGTGTGTTTCGAGCACGTTTGAAATTTCTTAGAAAATCTAAATTTTCTTAGGTTATTTGAAAAATAACAAGTGATTAGAGATTGAATTAACATTAGAAACAGGTTTTTGGTAAATTTAAATATTGAATTCATAAAAATAAAACATTACTTTTAGTTTATATTATATGACGATTGACGAGTCAAAACAATAGATTTAGATTCTATAATAGATGTCATATTTTACCATTGGTCTAGGTCTGCCCTGTGTTGATTTAATGTGTGGTTTAATAATTATTTATAGGTTCATGGTGTGATAAATGTTGTGAGTTGGGGTATTTTGATGCCTGTGGGTGCAATGTTAGCAAGGTATTTGAAGGTGTTCAAGGCAGCCAATCCAGCCTGGTTTTACTTACATGTCGCTTGTCAAGTTTCTGGCTACGCAGTCGGTGTGGCCGGTTGGGGCACTGGCCTCAAACTCGGAAGCGATTCTCCTGGAGTTCGCCAGGACACTCACAGGAACATCGGAATTACCCTGTTTGCCCTAGGAACACTTCAGGTTTTCGCCTTGCTGTTGAGGCCAAAGCCAGACCATAAATTCAGATTCTACTGGAACATCTACCATTACAGCGTTGGATACACCGTGATAATATTGAGCATAGTAAACATCTTCGAGGGATTCGACATATTGGATCCTGAGAAAAAATGGAAAAGGGCATACATTGGTGTGCTTATATTCCTAGGAGCCACTACAGCTCTCTTGGAAGCCTTTACATGGTATGTTGTGCTAAAGAGGAAACGGGAAAATCACGCGGATAAAGTTGCGCACGCCGGTAACGGAATGAATGGATATAATGGCGGATCCCAGCAGGCAGTGTAGACACTTTCTATTGCAGAGGATTTTTGGGATCTTATTTGTTGAGGCAGATATATTATTTTTCTTATGATTCTTTTCTAGTTTTAGTTACTTGTACTATAATTAGATTATGTATTGTATTGCTATTTGAGACATTGATGTGTTTGTATATCATCAATATTACACACCCATGATTTTACTTGTTTGTTAACTGTGGTTTGATGATATACGTTTTTCTCTTGTTATTTGATAATGAGTTTCTTCTACGTCCAAAGTAAGTAGCTAGTCAGTCGCCCAATGTCCCCAATTTATAAAATGGACATACTTTTGCCTTTATTTTTTCTTATGAAAATCTAGATTGGCAATTTTTTTTTTTTGATAACCGTTGATGTCCGGGCCAGCTTGCGCGCACCTCGACTAATTCCACGGGGCCCTGAAATTTACGGCCGGGTACTCACCTCAGTGGCCCCGAGGGGACTCGAACTGGTGACCATTGGGGAGCAAAACCAAGCATGCATGAGGTGTACATTTTTTTTTTTTTTTGATAACCGTGGATGTCCAGGCCAGCTTGCGCGTACCTCGACTAATTCCACGGGACCCTGAAGTTTACGGTCGGGTACTCACCTCAATGGCCCTGAGAGGACTCGAACTGGTGACCATTGGGAAGCAAACCCAATGCCTGGCCAATTGAGCAACTCCTAAAAGTTTAGATTGGCAATCAATAATATTAAAAATAATTTAAGCTTACAAATGATCTTTAAGTTAGAAAAAGGGTAAAACATAAATAGTTTAACAAATTTAATTTACTAAAGAAAATCAATGAATATTTTAAAATTAAATATTGAAAAGCCAGGATCACACAATATAAGTGTCGAGAAACAAGATTAATCGAATCAAACAGAAAGTAAATTTCAGAAAATTAAAGTTTAATACCAAAGAATTATTTCAACCGAAACCCCGAAGATTCGGTGACCGTTTCTAACACCTACATTCCCCATTGAGCATCCAAAAAAGGGTTATTCTCGGTTGCACTAAAATAGCCCAAAATGGCAACAAAAGTTATAAAAGTTCAGAGAGACGAAACAAGAGATTTATCTCTCAAATACAGTATTATATCTATAAAGATTCATCAAGATATCTTCAAGATAACCCTTTGAACAACACCAGAACTAACAACAGAGAAATCACACAGATTCTCACAATATTCATTCAAAATATTATACAATGAAGGCTACTCTATGACACAAAGCACTTAAAATCAGAGATGTCTGATTTTAAGTGAATCAAACGAAAACAGCAAACCCTAGCCCCTCTTTTCTCTCTTTTTCTCCCAAAACGAAGGAGCACCAAAAACGAATTCACATCAAAGAGAAAATGATTTACACTAATAAAAGTGTGTTTCTCAAAAACACGATTTCATAATAATAATTTTGGGAGCACAAAAGAGAGAATCAGGGTTCAGCTCCAACATTTTCCACCTTGCTACCAGAATTTGGACTATCAGTGCATCCAGAAGCATGTTCACATTTCATTTTTACTTGCTCTATGTACCTGTAAAAGAATCACAAAGAATTAATGGAAAGAAATTTAATGCAATTCAGAAATTTGTTTAAGAAAATCACTTTAGTACCCATATCAGATGGATTATTCTAAGTTACAATCTTTTCAATTTTTATTATTTCCTTAAAAATAACATTTCTAATGAAGTGATATTTAACATCAATGTGCTTTGTTCTATCATGAAACATGGAATTTTTACTAAGATTAACACTTTAATTATCTGAAAACAGAATAGTTTGTGCATCAACAAAACCAAGTTTAGACAGCAATCCATTTAACCACATTCCTTCTTTTATAGCATCAGTAGCAGAAATATATTCAGATTTAGTAGATGACAATGCAACAATATTTTGTAATTGAGACTTCCAGCTTATGACAGTACCACATAAAACATAAAAATAGGATGAAATTGATTTCATATTGTTTCTATCACCAGCAAAGTTTGAATATGTATACCCCTTTAAAATCACACCTTCCTTATTGGATTTAAACACTAAGCATAAATCAGCAATACCTTTTAGGTACCTTAATAACCACTTCAAGTCATTCCAGTGATTTTCTTTAGGATTACTCATAAATTTGCTTATTATACTAATACCATGAGCAAGGTCAGGGCTAGTAAAAATCATTAAATACATTACAGAACCTATAGCATTAGCATAAGAAATTCTGGACATTCTATCATATTCATCTTCAGTTTTAGGACAACAATCTGAAGATAGTTTGAAATGATTTACAAGAAGTAAGGTTACAGGTTTGCAGTCATACATGTTGAATCTTTTAAAAATTTTAATCACATAATCATGTTAGTTTAAAAACAGCAGGTCCTTTTCTTTATTCCTTACAATTTGCATACCTAAGATCTTCTTGGCAGAGCCAAGATCTTTCATATCAATTTCAGATTTCAACTTCAATTTAATATTTTCAATTTCAGCCTTATTACAACTAGCAAGCAGCATATCATCCACATAAAGGACCAAATACAAGGAATCTTTACCTCCATTACCTTTGCAGTACAATCAAGTGTTATATTGACTTCTTTTGAAACCCAATTTTAGAACAAAAGTATCAAATATTTTGTACCATTGTCTGGGGGCTTGCTTTAAACCATACAAAGATTTTTTTAACAAACACACAATATTTTCGAGATTACCTTTTTCAAAACCAACTGGCTGTCTCATGTAAATAATTTCATCAAGTTCACCATATAAGAAAGCAGTTTTGACATCAACCTGATCAAGTTCCCATTTAAATTGAGCAACAAGGGCAAGTAAACATCTAATAGTAGTGTATTTCACAACAGGAGAAAATATTTCAATGTAATCAATACCCTCTTTTTGAGTAAAGCCTTTTTGCTACAAGTCTAGCATTGTATCTAATGTTATTACACCCACATTCTCCCTATTTAATTTTATAAATTCATTTACAATCTATTAGTTTATGCTATTTAGGCCTTTCAACAAGTTCCCATGTTTTATTTTTAATCAGTGAGGCTATTTCATCTTCTATTGTAGCTTTTCAGTTTCCACTTTCTTTACAATTTATGGCATCATCATAAGAGTTTGGTTCATTTTTTGAAAATTCTTGATGAGTAAATAAGAAACAAAATTATCACTGTCAAATCTGGTGGAAGGTCTAATCTGCCTCCTCTCTAATCCCTTGTGAGTTGATACTCATCAAGAGGTAGAGCTGCAGGATCAAATTGATCAATTTCTTGTTCAGTTTCAGTTTCAGGCAAAATTGCATTTTCTTCATGTTCAATACTCTCAACAGTAGACCCAGGAGTATCCTAGTGATTATTGAGGACTCCTCCTCAATTTGAACATCTTTATCAGTTAAAACATCATCTTTTCCTTCAAGGCAAGGCATTAAAGATTCATTAAAAATGACATCTTTTCTAATTATAACTCTGTAACCTTTTTCAAATTTAACCCACAGTCTATACCCTTTTACATGTTCATCATATCCCAAGAAAACACATTTAAGTGATCTAGGTTCTAATTTTCCAATATTTTGATGAGTATATGCAGCACAACCAAAGACTTTCAGGTAAGAATAATTCACAGAGTTATTTGACCACACAACTTCAGGAACAACAAAATTCAAAACACTTGTAGGGCTCCTATTAATCAATTAAGTTGCAATCTTAACTGCTTCACCCCAAAACATTTTTGTCAAACCAGAACTCAAAATCATACATCTAACTTATTTAGCAAAGTTCTGTTCATTTTTCAACTAACCATTTTGTTGTGCTGTGTAAGTGACAATTCTATGTCTCAAAATGCCATGTAATTTTCAAAAATTATTGAATACAGGATTATAGAATTTCAAGCCATTATCTGTTCTCAAGATTTTTATTTTAAGATATGTCTGACTTTCAACCTGGATTTTTCAGTCCTTAAAAACTCAGAATGTCTCTTAAACTTCAGCAAAAACACTCAAATTTTCCTTGAGAAACAATCAATTATTAACAGGTAATATTTGAAGCCAGATAAAGTAGACACAACAGAAGGACCCCACAAATCAGCATGGAAATACTCAAGTTTTTGTTTGGATTTATGAATTCCAGTGGAAAAAGGAAGTTTAACTTGTTTTCTTATAATACATTGTTCACAAGAACCAAAATCACTAGGATTTAACTTTCCAAAAACACCCTTTGATTGTAGAAAATTCAAACTCTTTACCAATGTGACCTAGTCTTTCATGCCACAATTTTGCCAAAGTAAAGTTTTCAGATACATCAGAAGTAGCCAGACCCAACGAAAGTTTAGCTTTCAAATAGTACAAACCATGTCTCTTAGGGACAGAAGTAATCAAGTCAATCCCCCTAAGAATTTTAATATGTCATTTCCCCATATTTATGTTAAACTCCATATCATCTAACATGCCTAAAGATACTAAATTCCTTTTTAAATTTGGGACAAATATGGTTTCTTCCAAAACAAAAGATTTCAATTTTCTAATAGCAATTTAATCATCCAAATTCTACTTATTTTCCAGGTATTTCCCATTATAACCTGCCCTCCTTTGGTTTTTTCAAAAACAATAAAGCATTTTTTGTTTGGACACATGAAAAGAACAACCAAAGTCAAGTATCTATTCATCACTCAAGTTCTTTTCAGCACTTACAAGAACTAAGCTATTTTCTGTTTTGGCTTTAATATATGCTAAAGCAGTACTCCCTTCTTCAAAACCTTTTTCTTTTGCTTCATTTTTCTTTTTAAAATAATCTTTAGCAAAATGACCAATTTTACCACAATAATAACATTTCTTGATTTTAGCATTATTCTTGGTCTTATTTCTGTCAGTCCACCTTTTTATTTTCTTTTGAAAATTTTGGACGATGTTCAGATTTACTAAAAGTTTTACCCTTGAACGACAAATTTACCCCAGTGTGCTGACACTTGACTCAGCCTTGATTTCTTGTGCCTTATTTTTCAAAGAATTGATTATAATATTAGTAG